CACGGGCAAAGCAAGAGATTCCTGTCTCAGCACTGGCAGAGAGATCCCTGCAATCCCTCTCTGATCAGCCACTGGATTCCCCCTCAGTCTGTGGGCCGGAAGCTCGGGAAGCGCCCCCCCCAGGGCCACACTCTTGGGGAATGGAGCTGAAACCCCACCTTCCTTTCTTAGGCACCGACAGAAACAGACTTTTCCCACTGACCTTCTAATTTGTGTTTGGCATTGGTGGATTGAGGAGTCCGGAAACCTCCACAGCTGCCTGAGATTCAGTCCTCTGAGGCCCGCTCCAGGTTTGCTGCAGCCTGCGCGCCTACGCTGCGGCCTGGGCACCCACACCGCGCTGCGCTTCCAGCCCGGCGCGATACACCTTTCTGATCAATCATCCAGGTTGTCCTGGGCTGGAAATTTGTTTCACTCTGTCTTTTTGCGGGTTCTGCTGCTTCAGAATTTGTTTAGAGCCATTTTTTATGAGTTTTTGGAAGGGTTTGGAGGAGAGCTCAAGCAAGTCACTGCTTTTACTCCGGCATCTTGGCTCCGCCCCTACTTGGCATATTTTGAACCATGGTGAGCTCAGCTAATTCCTGTCACTTTGAAGGAGGAAATAATGTGTAGCTTTAACTAAGTAGTTTATGAGAACATAGAAGCCCAGAGAATAAAAAATGTGGTCCTCTGGTTGGGCTCTATTAGTCAGAAAACAGGATGTTTTTTATATTTCTTTTTTCCACATTTGCTGATATGAGGATTGGGCTGTTTTTTTTTTAATAGTATTTTATTTTTCCAACTAAATGTAGAGAGAATTTTTTCATTTTTAAAAATTTTGGGGTTCCAAATTTTTCCCCCTCCCTAAAAAGGTAAGAATTTTAAATAGGTTATATATGTGCAGTCATGTTGTGAAAGAGGAAACAGACCAAAAGGATAAAACCACGAAAAAGATAGTGAAAATAGTATACTTCGACCCACTTTCAGACTCCATCAGTTCTTTCTCTGGAAAGCATTTTCCATGAGTCCTTTGGAACTGTCTTGGATCATTGTATTGGTGAGAAGAGCTAAAGTTATTCATAGTCGTTCATTGCACAATGTTGCTATTACTGTGTACAATGTTCTCCTGGTTCTGCTCACTTCACTTTGCATCAGTTCATGTAAGTCTTTTCCAGGTTTTTCTGAAAACATCCTGCTTGTTATTTCCTATAGCACAATAGCATTCTATCAAAACCACGTAACACAGCTTGTTCAGTCATTCCCCAGTTGATAGGCACACCCTCAATTTCCAATTCTTTGCTACCACAAAAAGAGCTGCCATAAATATTTTTTGTACATATGTGGTTCCTTTTCCCTTTTTTATCATCTCTTCAGGACATAGACCTAGTAGTGGTATTGTTGGGTCAAATCGCGTGCATAGTTCAGTGGCCTTTTCAACATAGTTCCAAATTGCTCTCCAGAATAGTTGGATCAGTTATGATGTTTCTTAAATTTTTTTTTTATTAATTTTGATTTGTCAGCAATCACATCCATAAGCTTTTGAGTTTTAAATTTTTCTCCCCCTCCCTCCCCACCTCTCTCCCCAAATGGCACACAATCTGATACAGGCTATACATATACATTCCTATTACACATATTTTCACATTAGTGATGTTGTAAGGAAAATTAGAACCAATAGGAGGAAACCACCAGAAAGAGGAAACAAAACACAACAGAAGAAAAAAATAGCAAATACATGTTTCAGTATTCATGCAAACTCCATAGTTCTTTCTTTGGATGTGGATAGAATTTTCTGTCACGAGGCCTCTGGAGATGACTTAGATCCTTGTATTTCTGGGAAGGGCTAAGTTTATCAATATTAGTCATCGCACAACGCGGCTGTTATTGTATAAACGTTCTCCTGGTTCTGCTCACTTCACTCAGCATCAGACCATCCAAGTCTTTCCAGATTTTTCTGAAGTCTGCCTGTTCATCATTTCTTATAGCACAGTAGTATTCCGTTACATTCATATATCACAACTTGTTCAGCCATTCCCTAATTAATGGGCATCCTCTCAATTTCCAGTTCTTTGCCACTACAAAAAAGAGCTGCTATGAATATCTTTGTACATCTGGGTCCTTTTCCCATTTTTATGATCTCTTTGGGATACAGCCCTGGAAGAACTATTTCTGGGTCAAAGGGTGTGCACAGTTTGATTGCCTTTTGGACATAGTTCCAAATTGCTTTCCAGAATAGTCGGATCAGTTATGATTTTTTTTTAAGGCAATTGGGGTTAAATGACTTGCCCAGGGTCACACAGCTAGTAAGGGTCAAGTGTTTGGTCTGAGACTGGATTTGAACTCAGGTCCTCCTAACTTCCCTGCTGGTGCTCTATCCACTGTGCCACTTAGCTCCCCCTTATGCTATTTTTAATGAGACAGATTGAGCATTGTTTTCTTCTTGGTGCCTAAGTGCTAAACATTCTTAAATTGTTCCAATAGCTTGGTATACTCTGCTTCCTATAGTGGGTCATTGAGTGTTTGAGTTTTTCTGTTATTATATTCATATTGATTGAATAAAAAAGCATTTCTTAGTATTTTTTTAGCATTTATTAGGTTTACAAATAAAACTTAGGAATGCTTGAGAAAGTAGAGCTGCATTTTAATAAAAATAAATACTGTAATTTAGAGAAGTGAGAGGAAAAAAAGAAAAGACAAAAATAATTCCAACAACATGACAGCGAGGGTTCTGAACATCAATTTTACTTACTCTGCATTTTGTTTGTCTTATTTTAATTGTCAGTTTCATTGCTTAGATAGTCTTTTTACTTTATTTTTCCTATTTTGGACCAGACTGGTGATTTATTGGTGTAGGCAGCTTCCAGTGAGGAAACTATTTCTCCCAGTGCAAATCAGCAAATGTTCTACAACTTAGTTTTAGAGCGTTGCCTTAAGGCAGCAGTGTTAAGTGGCTTGCTGAAGTTTCACTCAACTGTCAAGGGAGTAAGGGGATAAGTCTTTTGACTCCAATGATTCCTGACTTCTGTTCACTATCCCATGCTGCCTATCTCCTTGACAGCTTTTTTGTTTTGGGGAGGGGGGGTGGAGAGAAGGAGGCAGATTATAGTTGTGAGGAATAGAGAATTCCTCAGTCTTCCAACATCCTTATATAGGGAGTTCTGTATCAGAATGGTGTAGAACCTTGAAAGAATCGATATCATATTATGCATTTGAGCAGTGGATTGAAGGTAAATGACTTCCACCAGCCTCTCCCATTCACTTTCATGTGCCTTATCTGTAAAATGGGGTTATTCTTCCCGTACTCAAAAAGAAAATTGTGTGGATTAATTATCCTGAATTGCCTTGAATGCTAAAACAGAGCAACATATAAACACAACTTGTTTTTTAATCATTATTCCTGACAGCTGATTTGGTTAGACTTGTTTTGGAGTTTAGGATTCATGCATACCAGCTCATCTATTCTCCAGCTGTTGTTTATCCTAGTGTTTCCGGAACTATCAGGCACATGGTATTTTTAAAGCTGATTTATGTTGCTATACATTTTGATGGGAGATAATTAAGTGCATAATATTGTTTCAGTCTTAGTCATAACAGAGATAGAGAGTGGACAAAAGTGCTGATAATGCTTGTAAGAAATAGCAGTAGTTAAGGAAATAATAAATTGTCACTAAGTCTGGGGTTAAATCATCTAAATTCAACAAGGACTTTATTGCTACTACTCCCTCCTCTTCCCACTCGCTCATTCTCTCCCCTGCCTTTCCCTTTAATATTTCTTCTTGCTATAAGGAATATTTGCTATTATAATAGAAGATTCGTGCTACATAAAACCAGTGATATAAATATCTTAAAGTAATTTCTTACTTCCTAATACACTTGCCTGACTTAGAAGCAGATATCAAGGCTGTTGCTGTACTATTTGCATGAGCATTTTTAAATTCCTGTGGCTCCCAAAATTCAATATCAGTCAGTTTGGGGCTAATGCAAAGAGGTCCTGGACTGTGAGTCAAGTTTATTCTTAACTTGAAAGATTTTGATAGGCAGAAGAGAGAGAAATTAGGAAAAGGTATCTGAGTCAGTGAAACCATGCCACATAATGAGGGTTTTAAGGTTTTTGTCCTAGGCAGGGAAAAGAACATCTTGGGGACAGGTGTTTGTTTTGTTTCGTTTTTTAAAAAGGTTAATTAAGCAATATTTTCTTAGATTTGGGAGGAACTAATTACAGAATAGGGTGTTAGAATTTGATTCCTTGGGCAGTGGGGAAGATGCTTGAGAAGAACAGTGACATAATCAAAATTTTATTTAAGGAAGACTACTGAGGTGGCTTTGGCACAGGACAAATTGGAAAGAAAAGAGATTGCAGTTAGGGGAAATACTTGGGTAATTATTGCAGAGATGATAAAGGCTAGCAGAATAGTCAATACTTGATAAAGTAGCAGGTGAAAATGAATGAGGTGGACCTTAAATTTTAAAGAGAATCTACAGGACTTAAGGGTTTCTGGAAACTGGGCCTTAAAAGGGGGATCATTGTAAACAAAAATCATGTCATCTATGTGGGTGTCAATAGAAACTACAGATGAAGTCAGAAAGCCAAGTATTTGAGCCACCTTGTGAAATACAAAACAAAACTGAGGTGAATAGGGAAAATATGGAATAGAAGTAGGCTTCTGGATGACTGAAGGGATATTGGTTCCATTTGGTGGGCATAAGCAGACCTTGAGTTTCTAACAAATTTATTCTTTGGATGAAACTCCAAATTCACTTTAGATCTGACTCACCTTTGACATTTTTAGCAAAGTGAACAAGGTTATCTGGTAGAAGTAAAACCACCCATTGACTTGTGGTCCACATCTCATTTTGTAGGGGTCACCTTGAAATTGACAGTTTTCTAGTCTGGTAGAATTGCTGGAGAAATGTGGGAAGATTTGTCCCAGTTGTTTGCCTTCTTTGTTATTGAATTGCAACCTATGCAGTATTTATCCTTTAGTTCATTGCAGCTGCTTTGTTTTATTCTTTGTTCCCAGGAAACCTGTAGGAAGTGTCAGGGCCTATGGAAAGAACATAATGGCATTACCTGTGAACAGTTGGCTGAAAAAGATGACATCAAATATAGAACATCTATGTAAGTACCATCCTTAATCAAAAGTACAATTTTCTAAACATATTATTGTGTCACATATTCTTTCAAAACTACACAAATACTACACAGTTGGCTAATGCTACATTACACTGCATTTATATATTGAATCTGGTGGAGTTTTCCTTATGAAATGAAAATTTTAAAGCAAAGACTGAGTGCTGTACATCAGCTAACAAAGAGTAGTTTTGATTTAGGGGCATCATTCTGGTTTGGGCTTGTATGTAGAATTGAAAGCAAAGCATGCCTCACTGCTCTGGTCCTTAACCAGCCTTACAATGATGATTACTGTGTGACTACAGAAGAACCTTGGAACATTTATGAACAACAGGAGTTTTTAAACAAACACACCAGAACTTGTACATCGAAATGAATGTTGTCATTCAAAGGAGCCACTTTGGGTGGACACACACCAATTCCAACAATTATGATATTACCCAAAATGTTCTTGGGGCTCTCCCCTTTTTGAAATTGTATTTATGAGTCTCAAAAGAAATTACTTTGCAATTGTAACTCATTTGGGGACCACAAATACCCAGCTTGATAATTCATGAGAATTGACTCTGAACAAATGACTTTGAACTTTTTCCAAACATCTCAAAGGATGTAAATTTACCACAAGAGAAGAGATTCCAAGGAATATGTCCTAGGCCCTAAATGTGATTGCAGAAGAGTCCTAAACCTTATTTTGAATAATGGCAGCAGCTCTTTGAAATAGTCCTAATGAGACTACTCTGAAGAGGACAAGATTCATTTGGATATATTAGTTTTGAGCTGTTATAATAGAAGTCATATTACTTTTTAATCATCCACTAGCTGTATATCTCTGGGCCTCCATTTCCTTATTTGGAAAATAAGAGTTCAAGTTAGATCATTCTCTAAGGTAACTTTCAGCTCTAACATCCTTGTTACCTCTAGGAACACAAACTCCCTTGTTTTGGACTTAAAAGCTCTTCACGACCTGAATGCAACTGGTACCTCTCTAGGGTTATTATACATTCCTGCCCTTCACAAATTGTTGAGGCAAAATGACCTCTCCAGAACTCCCAACACTCCATCACACATTTGTGCCTTCATCCTAGCTGTCCCCCATAACTAGAATGGACTTCCTTCTCATTTCCACCATTTAGAATCCCTAGCTTCCTTCAAAGTAAAGCTTCAGTATCACCTCCTACATGAGGTTTTCCCCAATCTTTCTGAAGTGTGTGTGTGTATGTCCCTCTTGAATTTAAGCTCCTTGAGGATTTTCATTTTTGTCTTCGTCCCCAGTATATAACACAGGCATAGTAACTGATACATAGGCTCTAAATAAATGCTTGTTGATTTATATTTATAATTTGGACACATTTATATGTTTTTGTTGTTCTTCAGTCATTTCAGTGTCCAGTTTTTCAGTGACCCCATTTGGGGTTTTCATGGCAGATGTACTTGAGTAGTTTGCCATTTCCTTCTCCAGCTCATTTTACAGATGTGGAAACTAAGGCAAACGGGATGAAGTGACTTGCCCAGAGTCACACAGATAGTAAGTGTCTTAGGCCAGATTTGGACGCAGGAAGATGAGTCTTCATGACTTCAGGCATGGCACTATATCCACTGTACTACCTAGCTGCCCCCTTATATATTTGTACATACACAATCTGGAAAATTGTGGATGTTCTGCTCAGTTTTCTCCATAGGATGAGAGATAGCAGGGACCACTCTGAGGTTTAAAAGGAGAAGTTCACAGGCAAATGTTTAATCACTATTAATGCTTTTCTATCTGTTCCTCTCAAGACTGAGGGGTTAAAGGAGAGACATCTTTTGTTGTTATTCAGCTTTTCAGTTGAATCTGACTTTTTGTGACCCCATTTGGGGTCTTCTTGGCAAAGATACTAGAGTGGTTTGCCATTTCCTTCTCCAGCTCATTTTACAGATGAAGAACTGAGGTAAACAAGGTTAAATGACTTGCCCAGTCACACAGCTAGTAAGTATCTGAGGCCAGATTTGAATGCAGGAAGATCAGTCTTTCTGATTCCAAGCCCAGTGTTCTATCCATTGCACCACCTAGCTGCTGTGAGACATCTGATAGGTCCAGTTGTGTAGAATGGTAAGACTAGTCATCCTCCTTCCTTTTGCTACCTTTTCCTACCTTTTTAAAGTTGGAGAGTCACATATGGTAGTATATGACCAGAGAACTCGAAACAGATTGGCAGCATATGAAAAGTCTTTTTGTGTTTTGTATATATCTTATATAAAACTGTCTTCTCATTTTTCTCTCTCCTTCTGTTCTTCTATGACATATCTTGATGTTCTCCCTAATTTGTGGTCTTGAATTTAGGATCTTTGGCAGGAAACTATTGAGATGTCTACTTCATCTTAGACCTCCCAGATAAAGCCTTTCATTCCCAGTCTGGTATGGTAAAGCACTTACTTTTAAACCAGATTCTCACATTAATACTCATTTCGCTGCTCACAAAAAAAGATGAGAATCTAATGTAATGAGAAGGCATGTAATTTTTTAATCTTTGGGGCTTCCCATACAATCTAATCTTCATAACCATCTTGCCTTAGATCAGAGGTCACCTAACTACAGCCTGCCTGTTTTTGGATAACCTGCAAGCTAAGAATGGTTTTGTTTGTTTGTTTTACATTTTAAAATTTAAAAAGTCATTCTTACCTCATTGACTGGCCTGGTTTGCCTCCCTCTGCCTTAGATGGTTATACGGATTAGTTTGTACAGGAGAAATGACAGTAAGTCTTCCTTTTGGTAAAGTAAGCCAAAGCACAGCTGGAGTTTAGGCCTTTCTTCCTGTCCCATTCCTAGGAATAATATCCTGTGAGAGGAACCAACTCAAAGCAAAGGAGATTCCTTTTATTAAGCTGTTTTTGTTTGTCCCTTGTGTACATGACTATAGGAAGTGAGTTTAGATCCTGTTTCATTAATATGCTTTGTTTAGTCATCATTATAATCTGTAATCCTGTGGTCCCCATATGCAGTTATTCTGTTCCAATCCATATACCTACATCTTTGTACATTTTGCATTTCACCCTAGTAGATTGTAACCTTTGAAGGCAAGCACATGTGATCTTATTTTCTCACCTTTTTCCCTTAGCAGTGCATTGCATTTAATGTTTGTTGATTTAATGACTCATCAAATAATTAAGAGCCTCTACAGTGTGTCTGTTGCTAGCTGTTGTGGAAGATAGAGTAGTATAATATATAATCCCTGCAAAAGGCTGCAATCTAGTTAGACACAGGACACTTATATTTTAAAAAGCATGTTCACAGGCTAACTGCCCAAGGAGTTGTGTAGCATGTAAGATGGACCTATGGAGGGGCAGCTAGGTGGTGCAGTGGATAAAATTCTGACCTTGGAGTCAGGAGGACCTGAGTTCAAATGTGGTCTCAGACACATGACACTTACTAGCTGTGTGACCCTGGGCAAGTCACTTAACCCTGATTGCCTCACCAAAAGGGGGGAAAAAAAAGATCAACCTATGGGATAGCAAGCAGATCTTATCAAGTTCTTATCTAGAATACTTAATACAAGAGGTAGAACCAAATAAGCAGGTAAAATCATAGAATGCCAGAGATGAATGGGATTAGTCCAGGGGTTATTAGCCTCAGATCCGTAGATTCCAGGAGGTCCATGAATTTAGATGGGAGAAAATTTACATCTTTATTTTCACTCAGATCACAATGAAATTTAGCATTTTCTTCAATTGTGATTTTGTAAAAACCATTCTGAGGATGGGTCCATAGGCTTTTCCAGATTGCCAAATGATTTGTCCAAGCTCACACAATTAAATCAGTGAATAAAGTTGAGATTCACACCAAGATCTTGTGTGTCCGAGTGTGCCTTCCCACTATGCCGTGGTGCCTTCTTAGCTTTTTGTTAGAAACCTTCATCTTCACTGTATTATTGGACAGGTGTTCACCATCCTCCATATAAACTCTTCTTTTAAGTGTAAATCAGGTTAATCCTGAGAAGTATGTCTTTAATTAATTCAGAGGCCCATTTTAAGTGTGTCCTCCCCCAGCACATCTATCTTTTCACAGTAGTATCTAAATTCATTATCCATTGGCAGCTTACTGGAACAAAGCAGCAAATTCATCTAGCCCCCTAAGCCTTGTTTAAAAGCTTATTTAGTCACAATCCCTTCCCTCCATCATACATACTTACTCTGGACTAGGCGTTCTATCTATGGGGGAAAAAGCAAATCAACCCCATTCAGCATTGTTGTTGCCTGGGTACATGTGTACCTTTCAGTCCCAAATGTTAAGTACATCTGGAGTGATGTTGTAGGGACAGGCTAGGTTTTAGGGATGAATATGAATTCTCAAATCGGATAGTTTTAAATGAGAACTGCTTAAGTTTGACAGACATGGGAAATTAAGATGTATGATTGTAGCCACTCAGTAATTAAATCACAAATGTGTGTTGCATTATTTAGTTGATGACAGTAAAATGTTTGTTTTTACTCTGCCTCATCTCCTTTTCAGTGCTTCCTGTTCAACAGAACTGAGAATCTCTGTGCTCTTTTGGCACTTAAAGAAGGTTAAAATGTATTCCAATCCACAGCTCAATTTTGATTCACTTTGTTCATTTGAATCTAATTTGTTAGTTTCTCAGTGATCAGTTTTTTTCTGTTATCACCATGTTCAGCCAGTCACCAAGCACTTACTATATGGCAGGTCTGGATGCTGAGGATACAAAAATAGTCCCTGCCCTCAAGAAGTTTACACACTAATGCAGGAAGCAACATGTAAATAACCAGGAACCAACAAGATATAGATAGAGCCTGGTGGAAGGCGGTCTGAGAGGGAAAGGTGAAGACATTAGCAGCTAGGGGCACTGAGAAAGGCCTTCAGTAGGTGAGATTTGGGTTGAATCTTAAAGGAAGCCTAGGAAACTAAGAAGTGAAATGAGGAGGCAGAGAATTCTAGGTATCATGGGCATTGTGAAGACATCAAGACCAGAGATGAGGTATCTGGAGTATCATGGTTGAGGAATTGCAACAGCCCAGTAGACCTGTTTCACAGAGATTATTGGGAAGGGAAGCAGGGGGAGAGTAAAATGTAAGAAGACTGGAAATAAAGGAAAAGGCCAATCTGTGAAGTACCAGAGAGGTTTGTATTTGATCCTAGAAGCAACTGAGAGCCACTGAAGCTTGGGATAGGAGGTCATGCCTAGGACTTAGGCAAAAATCACCTGAGCTTGAAGTTTGGAATGGGGAGAAATTTTAGGCAGGGAGACCATTGAAAAGGCTGTTCATTCAGTTAATGATGAGGGCCTATACTCAGGTTATATGACTCTGAATGGAGAGCAGGGGACGTATGTGAGAAATATTAGAAGAGAAATGACAAGATTTAGCAGTGACCTGGGTATGTGAGTGAGAGGGAGTAGTCATGGATAACTTCAGAGTTACAAGCCTGTGTGTGACTGGGAGAATGATGGTGTTCTCAACAGTAATAGGGAAGTTCAGAAGGAGAGAGGGGCAGAGAAGATGATGGGTTCTGTGAGTTTGAAATACCTATGGACCATTCAGTTAGAGATGTCCAAAAGGCAGCTGTGAAGTGTGACCGTAGCTTAAGAGAGACGAGGGCTGAATCTGGGAATCACCTATGTAGAGATGATGGTAGCACCTATGGTAGCTAATGAGCTCACCAAGTGAAATAGTGTAAAGAGAAAGATGGCCCAGGACAAAGGGGTGGGGGACACCCATGGTTGGTGAGTGTGACCTGAATGAAGATTTAGAATAGGAGACCAAGAAGGTCCAGTCTGATAGGTAGGAGGAGAACCAGAATAGAGCAGTTCACTAAAACAAAAATCTAGAGAGAAGAAAATATCAAGGGAGAAGGAGACGATCAACAGTATCAGAGGCTGCAGAGGGTTGGAAGAGAATGAGGATTGAGAAAAAGCCGTTAGATTTGGTGATCAGTAACTTTAGAGAGAGCAGGTTCCTGAGAGGTCAAATGACTTCCCAGGGTCATACAGCTAGTTCATGTCTGAAGCTGAATTTGAACCTAGATAGACTCCAAAAAAAAGTATTAAAAAACCCAGTTTACAGACCCTAGGTTACAAACCCCTGAACTAGAGTGATCGGTGTTAACCTTGAATTGAATTGCCTTACCCTTTTTATGAAGCATAAGAAATGACAAATATTTATTAAAGAGCCAAGACTACTTATTCTGGCTCTTATTAACTTGCCCATTCATTCCCAGTGTTTGGGCATCTGATGTCAGTGGATAGGTGGCAATTTAATTGGCAGAGGTGTTAGACAACTTAATATGATACATTGCCTTTGACATTAGAGAAACGATGACTTTTTTTCCCTACTCAATTTTAAGTCCCAAATGAGATCTTGTAGCCATCATTACTATTTGAACACCAGTAAGGTGCAAGTTGTCATTGCTCATCTTCATTATTGTATTCTTCTTTGCAACCATTCTCTTTCTTATTTCAGTGAAGAGAAAATGACTGCTGCCCGCATTAGAAAATGCCATAAGTGTGGAACCAGCCTCATAAAGTCCGAAGGTTGTAACCGTATGTCTTGTCGCTGTGGTTCCCAAATGTGCTACCTCTGTCGAGCCTCCATCAATGGGTACGACCACTTCTGTCAGCATCCCCGATCACCAGGAGCCCCTTGCCAGGAATGTACAAAATGTTCTCTTTGGACTGACCCCACAGTAAGTAGAAGCAAGCTGTCTCTGATGAAGGCATCTTCCTTTGTAGATTGTAAAGGGCAGAAACCTCCAGAGCTGTCTTTGAAAGTATTGCATGCTATCTTCTTTTTAGCAGGGCCAGCCTAGTGCCTTTGCAAAGAGATTTTCACTTAGCAGAGTTCAAATTCTTGGGGACACAATCTGTTTTATTTTTGTCTTTGTGTTTCCAGCTCCTAGCCTAGTTTGCTGCAGTGATAGTCATTTAATAAATGTTTGTGGAATTGAATTAAATTAAACTGGGTTATTTTTAGAGGCTGTTTTAAGGGATCTTCAGCTTAGCTTTTTGAAGACAATAGTATGCCATGTTTCACAGCCATAGTTTTACTTTACCTGGAAGACTCCTGTTATCAAAAGGATGAGCCTTTGTTTCAAGGAGAAGTTTAGAGTCATTAAAAGAACTGCGTGATTTCCCCAGTGCAACCAGACCTCCCTCCTCTTGTTCAGAGTTTTTGTTTGTTTGTTTTTGGTTTGGGGGGGGGAGGCTTTTAGGCAATTGGGGTTAAGTGACTTGCCCAGGGTCACACAGCTAGTAAGTGTCAAGTGTTTGCTCTGAGGCCGGATTTGAACTCAGGTCCTCCTGACTTCAGAGCTGGTGCTCTATCCACTGTGCCACCTAGCTGCCCCCTTCTTGTTCAGCTTTAGGCCCAGTTCATAGTCTGTTTTGTAGTATTCATCCCAGATCTCTGATGGGTGAGCTCTGTAGTTTAACCTCCTGGCAAAGAGTCTGGACAATAGGCTCTCTTAATCCACTTGGTTTTTCCTTTGTGAGTAGATGAGGGGAACTGTTTTAGATGATCATGGATCTTCTTTAGGAGGTTTTGCAATTTGCTTGGGCTTAACGAAGTTGCACAAAAGGCGAAAAGATGGATTTGTGGTGGGTTTAGAGCAGGTGACAGTGTTACAAATGAGTAACAAATGAGTACCTGGGAGATGTGATATGAAGGATGTCACCAAAAATGTGTGGCGGAAAAAAAATAACAGTGACCTAGTAGTGTGTGAGAGGCAGCATGCCATAGTAGATAGAGACCTGGGCTCAGTTTGACCCTGGACTGTGCCCCAAGCAACTCTCTATTACTAAGTGGCACAGAATGTGCCAGTCTGCATTGAGAGTGGGAGTTTCCTCACCCTGTAGCTCCTTACACTGAAAAAATCACAAGTCTGATCCTTCCCAGTCGTTTAACAAGATTGAGGGGCCATGGATAGTAGCCCATATGTTCCACTGGCCTTTATGCATTGTGAAGAGAAAAGGCCACTTTGCATGCTGAACAGGTTCTCATGGTGAATTTGTGGGAGGACACCAATAAGAGTCCCCCAGTAAGCAGGCCTAGAAGGGCTGCAATCTGCCTCAATGGAGGAAATGCCTTCATCTGTCAGTAGTGTCATGCAGCCATTTCAGCAATGAAGTTCTGAGCCAGCTGTAGTTTGGGTTTCTTTGTAGGCAGCTGGAATTTGTGTGTAAATGTAGGACTTTCTGCTGACATGTGATAGCAAAGACTTCAGTTCTTGAGCAGTATATTTCCCATATTACAATAAGGCTATCTCCCTCTGTTGGTTGAGCCCCTTTTGTAAGGTTAGTACTTGGAAGCTGGACCAGAAACATAGAACAAGGATTTCTATGTGAGAGAATAAGATGAATTTGAAAAACTTGTTAAGAAAAAAGGTCTTTGCTTTTCTGAGCAGAAGCCTAATCTGTACTCATATACTTGACTACATTCATAAAAGAACAGTGTCCCAATTAAGGAAAGTAATTGTCTTATTGTATTTTGATTATAAGGACTGTATTAGAAGTGTCGCGTCTAGTTCTGACCAGTATATGCTTCAGGTGGCCACTGACAGACTAAATGAGTGGCAGCCAGAGAGATGTGATAGAAATTATGTCTCAAGGGAGATGATGTGGAAACTAGGGTTGTTTAGCGTGAAAAAGAGAAGATCTGAAGGGAATTTGGATAGTTGTCTTCAGATCTTTGAAGAGCTATCATATGGAAGGGAGGACATTTATTCTACATTTTTCTGATAGTTATAACAAGAACCAGTGGGTGGAAATTTCAAGCTAGTAGATTTCAACTAAATATTTCAACAATCAATGTTCTTCTAGCAATGGTGTGTAGTTATAAATCTTGAAAAATTACAATCTCTGAGAAATCCAAGTGATAAGTAATCCAGATGGCTATGGAAAGATGCATGGTGGGTGCAAATAGGCTGCAGTATATGGCGTAAAGGATATAACCAGGAAAAGGAGGGGTGGGTCGTTCAAATGGTTCCCTAGGAAGGCCTTTTGGATGGATTTTCTGGAAGGACCGGTCAAAAATTGCACAAGATGTTAAGGCATGGAGGGATTGTGATCTCCACTAATAGAAAAAAATACCTATATTGGTAAGATCACAAATTTCTTGGAATTCTTCAGTATTTCAAGAATGGTGTTGGCTTGTGTGTAAAGTAGTTATACCATCCTCACTGGAAATAATTCAGGTTGAAGCTGGATGGCTGTCTGTCAAGAATGTTTTAGAAAGGACTCCTGCCTTGGGGAAAAGCAACTTGCCATTCCATAGGTAAGAGTCTTTGGTGTAGCAGGTTAAATCTTTTATGCTACGGTATAGCTGGAGGAGTTTCCTTTACCTAACTGCCTCCATGAGCCTATGCCACCACACCAGGAAGCTGCAGACAAGCCAAGATGTTAATTGATGTCTCTGAAAGTTACACCAGAAAATGTGGCCTTTATTCAGTGCCTGGGGTTCCTTGGAGAAGTAATCCCCTCATCTCATTAGCTTCCTTTAGATGAGCTAAGGGGGAACAAGCATCAGATGAGAGTTAAATGTCTTTCCTAGTAAGGTTGCTTCTCAACTTCATTATTTTTCTAGTTTCCACCCTTTTTACCAATACCTTTTGAATTGGTAATGTGACTTTCTCATATTTGCTTTCCTTATTTGCCTACTACAGCAGCCTGTCCTTTTTCTTTTTTGAACTGACATCTTTCTAGCCTTGGGCAATACAGTATTTGCTGATAATGGAATTAGACCTGACACTTGTCTCCCCTTTCCCCTTCTGCAAATCCTTCTGATGTCGTCTTCTGGCATATCCAGTGAATCTCATTCCATTTGTTCCATCTCCCATCAAAACTGGTTTGTGTATTCAGGACTAGCATAGTTTCCTCTGTTCCTGCTAGGCAGCTGATTGTATTCAGAGGCAGCATCTGTTCTGTGCCGGTAAGAACAAAAGCCATTCAGAAGCTCATAGAGTCATTAAAGTAAAACAAAGTTATACTGTCATCTGACCCTATTCTTCAGTTTAATTAACCCAAGTGGCGAAGCAAAATTTCCCAGAGTGATCTGGGAGTTTGCTGTTCATGTTTTGGATGAAAATTTGAGCTTTCCTACTCTGTGTGCAAAGGAAGATATAACCAAGGGTCACTTGGGAACCTGCGGCTTTGTTTTGAAAGTTGAGAATTAGAGTTTTTTTAAGTTCTGTCTTGTTAGTTTTTAAAAACAGACTTTAAATTCAAAGAAATATGGGGTCTGTTTAGAAGAAGAATTCAAAATAACCAATTCAGCCATGGCAGTAAAGTATTTCTTGTTCTCATTTAGAATCGTTAGTGTCAAAGAAAACCCTTTCAGTTGGTATATTATGGCACAGACCATGATCACAGTGGGTCCTCACAGGATCCAAACACTCTGGGCACCTCATCCATGTGTTATATAAGAGGAAGAGTTTGTAAATACAGAGTTTTCATTTCTTAAAATTATTGTCAAAAGCCACACTTACAAGAATACCAGTCTGCAAACTTGGGGTTACAGAGTTGCTATAGAATCCATAAGAATATGTTCCATTTTTTTAAACAAAACAAAAATGATGTTGGGAGTTTTTTGGGTGGGATGTTTTTGTTGTTGGTTTGGTTTGATTTTTTTTGGTGGCTGTGAAAAACTGCATCTGAACTTGAGGAGGTAATAGGAAAGCTATAATTCTCTTCTACATATTCCTAATATTTTTTATATGAAAGTTTGGCGTGCACACACATACTCCTGTAGAACCACAGAAATCAAATGAGTTAAATGGCTTTCCTAGTTCGACCCTTCTTATTTTTCTTGCTTTCATTCCTTCTACCAATGCCCTTTTAATTAATAATATGACTTTCTGATGGTCTTTGCCCACTGCCCCAGCATGTGTCTTTTTTCCCTTTTGAGTTGATATCTTTTTAGCCAAATTGTAGAACTTAGATTCATAAAGGCCTTTACAGACATTTTTAGTGTGACACCATTGTACTCGCTATACAGCCTTGTGCAACTCTTAAGCCAAAAAAGTGGGGAGCTTTTCCTCCTTTCCCAGGTGCCATATACCAGGAGTACCAGTCCTTAATGATTGGTACAAATTGGTCTCCTCATCTCATTTGAATGTCAGCTGTATCTGGTTTCATTGGGTGTTTCCAAAGACAAAATCTTACCCAAGTCTCAAAAAATACGTCATTTGCATCTGTCAGGCCCAGCAACTGGGTTGTAGAATAGAGGTGGACACTTTCTCATGTACCCCTTTCCAGTAGCCTGTTCCTTCATGGAAAAAGTACTGGGTGCTTGTTCACTGTTAGATTAAGCTGCTTCTTGGTAGAATCAGGGATACAGGAAGGGGTCTGGGAAGGTAGAAAAGCACTGATTCATGTTTGAGACCTTTAACTAATTGCATGTGCTTCTGAATCTGACTAAAGAGGGGAGGCCAGGGGATGTAGCAGTATCATAATGGAGGAAAAGAGAAAATTTGGAAGGAGCTGATGAAGAGTGAGGGAGGGGCAGAAGTTTTGTTAGGAACGGTTAAATGTTACCCTCCAATTTTTGTTCCCAAATGATTTTTCAAGTATTGGTCTTTGCCTAATAAAATAAGGCTGTTAGAAGGGAATTATGATCACTGAAACTGTGGTGCATTTGCTATTTATTATTCTTTATATTATTCAACATAATTCAAACTCTATAGAAGAGATT